AAATAACAATTATATAACCTTATTACATAATTAAGGTTATATTTATACATATTATTTATATATAACTTATGCATTTATATAATAAATATCTTTTTTTATTTAAAAAACCTTTTTTTTACAATAATATAATTAATTAAAACATAATCGTTATTTACATTCCTTTTATATTATTACGTAATATAAAGTTAATTTAATAAATTTAAAACTTAATAATAATATAATAAAATTTAAAAAAATAATAAATAAATAATAATTTATTTAAAATTTATTTTAACGCATATATATTATATTATATAATATTAATTAAGATAAAATTATAAAAACGCGTATTATACCGTTATTTTATATAAAATTAAAGATTTTAAATTATTTAACATAATTAATAAAAAGTAAAAGATTAAATAAAAATATTAAAAATTAATAATTATATTAATTATTAATTATTATTATTAAATTATATTTATTATATTATTTATAACTTTTTATTAATATTTAATAAAATTATTAAAACATAATAATATAATTATAATAACGATAAAATAATTTAATTTATTTTATTTTTATAATATAATTTTAAATTTTTATTTATAATAACTTTTAATAATATTTATTATTAAAATTTTCATTATTTTACAATATTTATAATATATTATATAAATGTTAAATTTTATTTATAAAAATTCAACTTTTTTTTTACCCGCGCTCATTTCGGAACTATTCTATTTCACTATTTCCATGACTACATTATATACTTAACCATGTGGCATACAGTCGCCGCAAACATTGAACAACGTCGCCACGCCACTAGTTGTGCTGATGATGTACCCGCCAATGGGAATATCCGACGTCGGCATTCTTGAACTTCTCGATTCTGATCCTAGACCGACCTTTGTCGTCGCGATTGCTCCGGCACAGTCGCCGCAGCCAATCTATGCGAACCCCGCCTTACGCCAAAAATCCTCCTTACACGCACGACTCGTCGAATTATCCCAGTCCCGCCATGGATCCTTTTGGGACTGGGTGACTGCTCCCATCCCCCGTAGTTCGAGCCTAAGCCACGTATCCCTTTTCGAGAGTATAATCTGGACGCGATCGATAGTCGGCAATAAATGGGCTGTTATTGGTGGTAATCATGGATTGACGTCGGAAGAAGACATCCATGGCATGGGGGCTTCGTATAGCTGGGGAAATAGTAACAATATTTTACACGATAACACCCTATCTGTGGCTTCAGAAGACGGAGATTATGGTTGGACACCTCCAGATTTCATGCTGGATCAGGAGTCCTTTGTTCATGTAATCAACACTCTGGACTGGGCGGCCACACCTCTCGGCGCACTGTCCCTCTGGCCTCCTCTCCTCCAGCAAACCTTCAACCAGGTTCTCGCTGACTCAAGACCTATTGTTATCTACTGGGGTGACCAGTTGACGACTCTATACAACGAAGCATTCAGCCAGCTGTGTGGTTCCAAGCATCCTGCTTTATTGGGGAAGTCTGTAGAAGACGCTTGGCCTGATTTCCGCGAAAAGATAAAGTTGGCAATGTCTTCGATGGTCTCAAAACAGCGTACGGGCAACGAGGATGAGTGGCGATTCTTTGTAGAGAAAGCTGATGGGAGTTCTGAAGAGAAGTATCTTAAGTGGTCTATGATACCTATCACCGAGAAGAATAAGTGCCTTGGTTTTATCCAGCCTATCCAAGACACAACTTCTATGCGGCTTTGGGAAAGACGCATGCAAATGCTGATTGATTTAGGCGACACTCTGGTCACTGCCCGTGACGTCAAGTCCTACTGGGCTAAGCTCATCCAAGAACTGGAGGCGTGCCAACCGACCTACGATATCCCTCTTGCTATCCTCTATTCAGTTGAAGAAGACCTGGAGTCGTCATCTGCAGGAAAAGCTGGCCGACTAGAAGGCTGTTTGGGTATTCCACAGGGTCATCCTATAGCTCCCCCGAAGCTACGGCTAGATGGAAGCGATATAGGGCTGTCTTCATCCTTTAGAGAGGCACTCGAATCGCAGACCCCAATACTGTTGCAAATCAAAAATGGGACATTGCCAAAGTCGCTCCTTGAGGGTCTACAATGGCGTGGTTTCAAAGACCCTTGCCATGAGGCTATCATTTGCCCCATACGACCAACAAAAGATGAGCATGTGCTAGGCTTGCTCTTGCTCGGGCTTAATCCTCGTCGACCGTATGATAATGACTACCAACAATATATTTCCTTACTAGGACAGAAACTAACCACATCCCTGGCGTCTACCGTGCTTCTAGAAGAAGAAGCACGAAGGGGTCGCAATATCGCCGAGCAAGCCGCATATGACCAGGCGATGCTCGCAATGCAGACGAAAGAAGCTACAGAATCTGTCCAAAAGTTTCAGCAGATCGCCGAATTCATCCCAGTTGGAATGTGCTTCGGTAATCATCGTGGAAATATCACATTTGCTAATGATGCCTGGCATCGCATCACTGGCGCTCCCCAAGTAAATCCACTTACACCCGAGGGTTTCTTGTCATGTGTCATCGAGGAAGACAAACCTAATGTACAGCGAGCATATGAAGAACTTCAACGAACTCTTACTGTAACTATTGAGTTAAGAGTTCGACGGCCGGTAGAAGATACTTATCCCCTTCAGCATCCTATTGGAAGCTCTCCTAGTTTCGAGAAAGCCGGGTTGGATCTTGATGCGGAGGATGGGAGTGTCCGGCATGTTCTGGCTTCCTTGAAAGCTGAACGGGGCCCCAATGGCAACATTAATCAGGTTTTAGCATGTTTGACAGATGTGACTTTACATAAAAAGGCCGCTGAAGAAGCAATTCGCAAGGCCCAACAGGCAGAGAATCTCAAGCGGTAAGTACCAATATTTGAACATCTACACCTCCGCTTTCCACGGAGCAATCCACATTCCTTAGTCCCCGCGAGTCTCGAAAATCCACAGAACAAAGCTCCAAGATAACCCCAAGCCTTTGAAAGACCCAGAGGCTAACTTTACCTGCGTAGGATGGCACAGCTTGCTACGGTGGGGATGTATGACATGGCTCTCGATGGCCGTTTGATCGGAGCCAACAATGTGTTCTACGAGATGTGCGGCCTAGACAGAGTGGACCTCTCCCAAGTGTCAGTTAAGCCATTCGAATTTTGTGTCGTCGATGAGGATATGCCAGTCCTAAAGAAGACGCTTGCCACCCTCGTTAAAGAATGCAAATCGCAGACTGCTGAACTTCGGTTAAAGACGTTGTGGACTGAAACAGACACTACTGGCGAACAGATTACTGCACCACGTTGGGTTCTTGCTACTTTTATGCCAGTGAGTAACTCGGAGGGAGCAATTCAAACCTTTACTGGCTGCCTGAGTGATGTCTCGTTACAAAAATGGCAATTCGAAAAGGAGCGGCAACGGAAGGACGAGGCGATCGAATCCAAGCGACAGCAAGAGAACTTCATTGACATGACTTCGCACGAGATGCGTAACCCTCTAAGTGCCATCGTTCAATGTGCCGATGCAGTTATCGGGTGCCTCACCAAAGCCCAAGAATTAATCGATTCGATGTCTGTGAAGCCTGATAAAAATGGCATATCGAACTCTTCCACAACCGATACCTCGGGCCGCATCTGGAAGGAAGGCTCCCAGTTAGTAAAAGATAGTATAGACAACGCAGAGACAATAATCGCTTGTGCTCAGCATCAAAAACGAATTGTCGATGACATCTTGACAATGTCCAAGCTGGACTCGAATCTTTTATCTATTACCCCCATTACGGTCAATCCTATCCACATTGCGCAAGAGGCCTTTAAGATGTTCGAGGTGGAAGCTCGTAGAGTCGACATCGATTTGACTATGGTAGTTGACCAATCTTATAATAAGCTCAATATCGAGTTTCTGGATTTAGATCCTTCTCGACTAAAACAGGTTCTTATCAACCTCCTAACAAACGCTCTTAAATTCACGAAGAATGGACCGACGAGAAACGTTTCGATTACGATGAGCGCTTCTAAGACTCGTCCCGAGGATTGTGCCTCTTCAGTCCAATTTATCCCACGCGCACTGGAAACGATATGGCAAGGTGATAGGCCATCGTCGCCAATACCTGAGGAGAACAGGATCTATCTTATGTTCGAAGTTAAGGATACAGGACAAGGACTCACCGAAGAAGAGAAGTCTTCTTTATTTCAACGCTTCGTCCAGGCTAATTCGAAAACTCATGTGAAATATGGAGGTTCGGGGCTCGGACTGTTTATTAGTCGCAGGCTCACGGAGATGCAGAATGGCGCTATTGGAGTAGCATCCAGTCCTGGTCAAGGCTCGACTTTTGCATTCTACATTGAAGCTCAGTCGCCGAGTGAAGAGGCATTCAGAGAGGCTCGGGCAGCTGCGGAGGCTGTCGGCCATATCCTAAAGACAACAAGCAACGCTGCTGGCAAAGCATCAAACAGGGGTCCGTTTACTATGACAAAGCCAGGCAAGAGGCTGCTCACGCCACAGATCGAAGGTGTCCTCCTAGTCGAAGATAACCTTATCAACCAACAGATCACCCGTCGTGACCTTCAGAATAGTGGGTGTTCGGTCGAAGTAGCCAATCACGGAGTAGAGGCCCTGGAGAAACTACAGCACACGAACCGTGCCAATGGGCAATTTCCACTCAGCCTTATCTTGATGGACATTGAGATGCCCGTACAGGACGGTCTCACCTGCACGCGCAAAATTAGAGAGCTGGAGAAGACGGGTTATTTTAAGGGGCCACGGATACCTATCATCGCGGTCAGTGCCAATGCGCGCATGGAGCAGATATTAGAGGCCAAAGCCGCTGGATGTGACGACGTATTGGTGAAGCCATTTCGGATTCCCGAGTTGATTGAGAAGATGATGACCGTAACAAAACAGCTTGAAAGGTTTGGGTGAGGTTGATCCCGAATGTGTTTTATAACATCGGCTTTATATCGTTACTTGTAGTGTTGTCCGTCTCATCTTTACGCGGGCTTGTTGAGACATAGTTGAGACGGGCTGCCTCCCTCCTCCTCCTTCGCCCCCCTATTGCAGTCGCATAGACTTGCATTCGTCGCACCATCTATACTAAGCTGGTTTGTTTATTTGTTTGCATTTGTCACTGGACGGATAGCGTCAGCATGATACCACGGGAACAATAGCGATTCATGAAGACAGGCATGGGTTTGGAGTTTTAGGTATTTGTAGTTCATTATTGCCAAGCCTATCGAATACGCAGCTGCTCATAACTACCTAATGTACGATAGAAAGCTGCTAATTAAGCCGGCTGGCTTGTTCTTTTATTTGTTGCGTGGATTGGTAGATACGGCGACTTTGGTAATATCGTACATTATCTCTAGGCGATAGTTGTACCTAGGCTACATATTCTAAGGGTTATATGTTCGGACGTACAACCCGCTGGATATGATTCATATTTTACCAATATTTAAAGATCGCCTTGTTTTTAAGTATTCTAATTTGTATCATAACTACCTAAGGTAGGTAAATAAATTTCATGAGAAAGTTTAGACTGCTGTGCGTTGTGAGATATTCCAGAAACTCGATACACGAGTCTCATCCTTCCTGTCTACAATTTAAAGCCAGGTTTTATAAACGCTTATCTGAATTTCTTACTAGCCTCGGCAAAGCCCATTCCTTTCTTGATCGCCTCTGCCATCTTATCATCCGCCTCAACTTGCTTCTGCATCAGTGGTAAGGCTTGCTCCGCCAACTCTACGGGTAAGACGACGACGCCGTTCAGATCCGCGATTAGGTAGTCTCCCGGTCGAATATCCATGTCTTGCTCGTCTGTTTGCAGTTTCACAGGCACGTTGACGGCCGCTACCTTGAGTAGCTCAGCTGGAGGTGCCGTCCCCGTCCCACGGGCAAAGATCTATGATTCTTAAGCGTGGGTAAACGTGTAAAGGGGAAGGGGGCTTGGATAATTATTTGAAGAGAATGATAATCATACCGGATACTCTAATTCACGCTGCTCTTGCAAGTCACGGAAACGTCCGTCGATGATAGACCCGATGGCGCCCCTAAATCGGGCGCGGGTCGACATTAAGCCTCCATACACGGCGTTTGGAGTTTTGGGAGGGCAAGAAACAAAGACTACAGCACCCTCAGGTACTGTATCAATCTTAACCCATAGTTAGCACCTCTCCCCGTTACGTAGGCTTTTCTTATTTTTCTTCTTTCAACGTACATAGTGGGTTGGATGTTTAGGCGATGGATCGTCTAACGGCACGTACTTAACAGTATAAGCTGGGCCTACGATCTTGGTAGGACCATCCTGGCGTCGAGGGGACCACATAGTCAAGCCGGATAAAAACCCGCCATTATGGTATTTGAGCTTGCATAAGGCGTCTGAGACGTCGCAGCTAAAGTTTAGGAAATTAGTTGGGCTGTTAGGATTGTGGCGCTCGTGTTGCTTTTCCTTACGTTGTGTACTTCTGTAGTTCTTTAACGATAACATCTTGAGATTCTGTCATATTGCCGAAATACCGAACTCGGCTGAATTGCGCGCGTCGTGTAGCGGTGCCGAGAGAAGGACTTCTAAGCTGGATGCGCAATGCGGATAGCATGGGGATCCGTTATTAAAACATAGACAGACCCTTTGTTAATTTTCTTGTTATTTTTATTATTGTAACAAATTTTGAAAAACGTTGGCATTATGTAGAATTTGATGTATCCCCTTAACTGGCATAAAACTACACCTCCACTATTTTTAGTACAGTACTACGAGATAATCTAATTCTAAGGCTATCGACCAATGAAATCGAGCTACTTAATCTTACACCTAATTTAGCCTATACCAGTTATACCAGCATTCCTTTGAGTTACAAATAGCTACATTACAAATCTAACATCGATATTTAGTCTGTTTTGGCCTATAAATGAGGCTATTTAGGGCCCTTTCATCTAAATCAGTCAGTCCCTGACGAGGTCGTCCCCAAATAGTGTTGCCTTTACAGGCCTGACACGTTGACGGGGTTGTTTTTTTACCTTTTCGATGATATCGCTGTGGGATCTTTGTGTTACCCCCTTTTGACGTTGTTTTTGAGCCTCTCTAACGAGCCTCAATATCGAATCCGTACTCCCCCAGTCCTGTTTCTAATAATATATCTATCCAATCCCCCAATGATTGGGCAGGCTTCTAAGTAGGGGACCCCCTTTTCTGTAAATAGAACGTGTTGGTCAGGATCAACTGTGGCAAAAAGTTAAAATGCAAGGCTTCCGAGGCTAAACGACGAAATCGGTGATTATATTTATATGCAGCCCTTATTTGATTGTTGATATCGACCCCATTTATATGATGATTATATTCGTCTGTGATCAACGGGATATCAAGGACCTTCTTGTATTGGTAGCCAAACACGTCCCGTATCGCCTTCGAGGCGTTCTTGGGCATCGTACGCACCCTGGATACACGATCAGAGATTCGAAAGACCGTTGTTAGAAAGCTTACAGGGCCGTTGTCGTGCCACACGATCTGATTTACCTGATTATCAGGGGTTGGCCACTCACAAGCCTCGTTATATCCCAATTCTTTATGTGCCTGGATCGCCACAGCGGCGATCCCACAGTCCTTGCAGCACGTCCCGGTAGCCGCAACGCCTCGTACACGTAATTGTTTAAATAGTTATGGGCTTGAAAAGAGGTTATCGACAAAAACGTGTAAGGGGAGGTAGCCCACGGTCTCGAATAGACTGTCGATAAAAGCGGTGACTACACGTTGTGTGGTATTAAGGGCATTGTCACCAGTCGCATCGGCTAATTTCATTGTGGTTGGCCGCCTTGGTACGCCAACAGGGCCACATCCCCGGGTTTGACCTGGGATATGCCAGAAAAATAGCAATATATAACCTGATTCAGCAAAAGCCCAGGCCTTAAATCCCGTGGGATCGGGCTTCGTAGGGATCGTGGTGATCTCGCTAGCCTTCCCGTAAAAGCGTACGATTAATTCGTCAATCGCAACGTGGGATCCAGGGGTCCACAGGTCCAATGAGGTCTTTTGAATCCAATTAGCCCACTCGTCGACTCGTTCAAAAGGCCTTATCTTTCCCAGGGCTGGATCAGCCGTACGAAATCGTCGTTTCAGGGCTTAAAATCGACGTAAGGTAATATATCTCGTAAAAGGATAATATGGGGCCTCATACATCTCGCCACGCCAATACGTTTCGATTTGCTTCTCGGGATGACGTAACATATAAATAATAACAAATAGAAAGAAATAAACCTCATCAATAGTAGTAACGTGCCAGTCGTGTGACCGTATATGAGGCTTATCCCAGACATCGTCGTTGGGCTCCCACTTATTCGTATATATAACCCACTTTTCAACAAGGAATTCAGGGATAAATAACTTAAATAAGTCGTTGGGGCCATCAGGAAGCCGGGCTATTTGAGGCTAACGATCAGGGATCTCAAGAGGCTCAAAATGCGTGCCTATATTGGGATTTGCACGGACTTTTAGTCGTCTAGTTGCAGGGTCCGTTTCATCACCTTGTGTAATAGCCGGGTCAAACTGGGCAGCGATATAATCGATATTAGGGGGTTGCGAGGCCATTTGGCTATCTAGGGATATAAAAAACAACAATAATACGTTGAAAATGGGCTAGAAACGAGGTCGTCGATATATAACGATTTGAGGCTATTTCGAAAAAGTGGTGTTTTTATTAAAAAGGATAAGATCCTGAGGAATCAGCTTCGTATCCTTTCGTATCGTCGATCATGAGGGGCCTCCGACCAATCAGAGGCCTTGGATTTAAATAAAAGTGGATCTATTACGTGTGTGTGGCGAGCTGACTTTGTACAATACCGATTACAGGGGGGGTTGTAGTCTTATGCCAGTTAAGGGGATAGTTGAATTGTCTGTTATACATATTGATTAGGTACTTAGGTCCGTTCACCCAAGACTATGATTACATTACATAACATTATATACATTATCTAAGTTAAGCGTATGCTTTTAATCGGATTCTATTATCATTATCATTAAGTACATAAGTTCGAAGTAAAAGAGACAAATACGTATATGTAGGTAGAGCAGTTATAACGTTAGTGAAGTTTGATTAACGAAAATAAGACATTTGATTCAGATGAATAGGTACGTACCTTAGTTTCCATTCCAAGGGGAGCCGATGATTCGTCTCCATATCTGGGATAGCCAAAACTATCATAGGTACATAGCTAGTTACGTTATGTGAAACATGATGAAATATTCTGGTTTTCTTTTTTTTTGTTGTTGTTTTTTGCGTACTACAGAGTCTTTCTTTAATAGACCGTCTCATAACAATTTGCCAATTTGTTATACCCCTGCAGTCGGGCCCGAGGATAAGAAGGTTATCAAAGAATCGATAAAATACGAGTTATCGAGGGGCCACTAATATGAGCTCTGTATCACTGTGTCCCTCAACCCCCAAGACCCCTTTAGTCTGCGAGATAGTAGACATTGCGGGTGGACGACGCTCGTAAGTGACCGCGCTGGCAATGACACCGACCGCTGCAATGCCAGTCATGATATTGATATCACTCGTAAAAGCCGATGCGTACCTATATCAACCAATGTCAACCTCGTATACATAGGTGCATAGGTAGCCAATAATATTATCAACTAGCTGCTGAGACTTACACGGAGCGCACGAGAAGTTTAAGCTCATCTGGTAGCCACGGGGCGATGGTTGGGCTGTGATGTAATGCAGCTAAGTCTTCAGCATCCATCTTGCCGCTGAGTTCAACTGTTACCTTTCTGTTAAACATGATGCTGCAAATTGCTATCCCAATAGCACCACCGAATACTCGAGCTTGCGCGATTGCGCCTTGGGCGACGGCTAGATCTTGGCTTTGCGACTGCACCGAAGCCATGATTGTTCCCGCCCCAAGGGAGAGTCCAAATCCAAGACCCAGAATTACCTGGAACCCATACTGCGCTTTGGTTTCAGTCGTAGCATCCTTGAGCGTGGACATAAAGCCAATGCCGACAAGTTGAAAGACTTGGGCCAACATTAACGTCCACGATGTGTTGTTCCTATTGCGCGAGATAATACCGGCGAGAAAGGCGCCAAATGAAGTTGCACCCAACAGCGGCAAAAGGTGGATGCCCGAATATAGTGCGCTCTCCCCGCTAACGATCTGGAACCGTTCGGGAAGGACGACGAGAACAGACAGGTAGACGAAGCCGGTACAAAATGTACATCTGTTCCTCGTCAGCTGTCCTGTTGTTAAACATCAGACCACTTATACATACATCACGCAGCTCGCATACACTCGTCGAAAGAAGAGCCTTAGGGGAAATATAGGCTCGATATGTGTTCTGCCTTTAAGGCCGATAAATATCTCCCATGTGAAGAAGGCTACCCAGCTGAGAGACGCAATTGACAAGGCTGCAACGACAGTCGTACTATCCCACCGATACGTGTAAGTGCCGGCTTCCTGCAGTGAAAATACTAGCAGAGCACATGCTAATATGACTGCGATATTACCGACGAAATCGATTTTTCGAATCGAACTCCACCCCCTCTGGTGTGCAATAACTTCTGTTGGTGAGGCCAGGTAAATGGCAACGAGAACTATCATGCCGGCCGGGACGCTATTGCGCATGTTAGAATTAACCTAGGTGTCGGGTAGTTGGAACACACTTAATCCAAAATATGATAGTCCACTGGCTTGTTGACGAAATCACAGCCCCTAGGATGGGGCCTAACACATATGATACTGCTAATGTGATACCTACCAGTCCACCCATTAGGCTAGGCTTATCAGATGGGCCTACTTCGAAGAGTACGATCTGACTTAGACTATACAAGCCAGCGCCGCCCGTTCCCTGGAAGGCTCGACAGATAATCCTATCGAGTATATCAGTTAATTCTCTTACACAGGAAATAGGAAGGGGGCTAGACGCACAACTGAGTCATGGTGGTTGAGCGAGCACACCCAATAGAGAAGCCGATGAAAAGGACCCATGAGCAAAATAACATATCACGCCGCCCGAAGATATCGCTCAGCTTAGCAAATCCAATGGCACAGCCAAGGTAGGCCAATAGATAGGAGAGAACGACCCAAGGGGCATCTAGGAAGTTCTGGAGATCAATGGATATAGTGACGAGAGAGGTTGAGACGATGGATGCGTCCAAAGCCGAGAACAGAAGTCCTACAAGTTGACTATCGAAGCTGTCAGCCCAGCACGATCATAACTCAATTAGGTTGGCGTTCCTTACGTTATAAGTCAAAGCACCCTTACGGGGGCCACCCTAGTAGGGGCCACCTTAAAAACGCGACGCGTTCGCGATGAGGTCCATATACGAATTATTATATAATTTTATTAGTTTTTAGTTAATTAAAAAATAAAATTTATTATTTAAATTTTTATTTTTTTACGATTTTAAAATGCTTATTTTTTTAGCTTAATTGCGTTGCGCTGCAACAATAAACAACATTTTTAACGGCGTATTTTTACGGTAGACATTTAAAAAATATTTTATATTACAATATTATTTTACGAACCAAATATTAGGTTGTAAAATATAAAACGATTATTTAAAAAAATATTAGAAATTATTGAAATATTAAGAAAAAAAATTAACCGATTAGGTTATTATATTAAGCCATATTGGTTATGCGTTTTCTTTATATCGATTTAGAAATATTGCAAAAAAATTATTAGTCCATAATTATCAGCCCGATATTTTTAGTAAATATTAGCATATATAATTTTTATTTTATTATTTTAATATTAAATTGGTTAAAATTTATTTAATTAATTATAAATAAATTAACGAAGTTATAATTAATAATATTAATATTTTTTTAACCGATTTAAGGTTTTTAAAATTAAAAATATCCCAGCCAGGTATATATATAACGTTAAC